TGGGCCCTTTGCAGTTTGGTTGGCAGTGGGAAGGGAGCAGAGAAGCTGGAATGGGGCTCATCTTACTCTCAGAGTAAGAGGTGAGGCATTGTGGAAATCAGGCAGTTTGAAATTGAAGAGTCATTTGGTGAAAAGAACTAAGGAACCAGCAATGAAAGGTACAGTTGAGAGGGACTGTCATCAGAGGTCTGGGATGGCTAAAATTGAGGAACATGATGTTAGTACTGGTTCCCAGGAACAGGTTTCCCCTCATATTTCAGCAAAGGAAGAAGTGAAACGAGAGAGAGCAGTAAGAAGGAACGTTGGGGCCTCCCCGGTGGCGCAGCAGTTGAGCGCTGGGTTGCGAAGTTGCTGGCAGCCTCTGCAGCGCCGGTTCAATCTCTGGCCGCTGGGCGAGAGTCCCACATGGCGTGCGGACCTCTCCTGCCGCCTGCTGCTCCCCTCAGCAGTGTATTTCGTCAGTCTGCCTGTTCTGTTCCCCGCTCTGGCTCTGGTGAATTCTCTCACCCTCCCTCACTTCTGACTGGTCCCAGTGCTTATATAAATAAATAAATAAATCTTTAAAAAAAAAAAAAAAGAACATTGACCTTTTTATGTTGGTGTGGTCCCCCTCTAAAAATGACAACTAGGGCCTCCCTGGTGGTGCAAGGGGTTAAGACGCAACCTATGAAGCTGTCCGCAGCCACTGCAGCACGAGTTTTATCCTCGGCCAGGGAGCGACTCACATGGCACTGCAGACCTCTCCTGTCTCGCCCGCTGCTCCCCTCAGCAGTGTACTTCATTAAGTCTGCCTGTTGTGTTCCCCACTCTTTCTCTGGTGAATCCTCTCACCCCCCACACCTCTAGCCTGTACTCCAGTTCTTGTATGAATAAATATTTTTTTAAAAAATAAAATAAAAATGACAAGTAAAGAAAGATTAACTTCTCTCTTTCGTACAGACTTCTCTATTTCTATTGTTGAAGCCTGCATACTGAAGTCACAATGTCACTTACTCTCCATATTTATCTTAGGTGATTGTTAATAATTAAACAGCCCAAAATATCCTCATCCTGCTCCTGAGGATGCAGAAATGCTTTTAGTCAAAAATCACCCCTGACAGAGCCTCCCTGGTGACACGGGGTTAAGTGTCAGCACTATGAAGCTATTGCCAGCCACTGCAGAATGAGTTCGATCCCCAACCAGGAGCTAACCCACATGGCGCAGCAGACCTCTCCTGTCTCACCGACTGTTCCCCTCAACAGAGTGTTTCAGTCTATCTGCCTGTTCTGCTCCTCACTCTGTCTCCTGTGAATCTTCTCACCCCACACACATCTGGCCTACACCCCAGCTCTTGTATGCATAAATAAATTAAATAAATCTTAAAAAAAAAAAAAAAAAATCACCCCTGAGGTTAATTCATGAAGCCCACTTCTTTGTCTTTGTTTTGCAGAATGAAGGCCGGATGAGGGGACCCAATGTGGGGGCTCCTGGAAGAACCAGCAAGAGACAGTCCAATGAGACTTACCGAGATGCTGTGCGAAGAGTCATGTTTGCTCGGTATAAAGAACTTGATTAAAGAATGGAGACATGTCCTACAGGACAGTCTCCTTCTTGTTTTGTTTGTCCATCTCTCTTTTTGTTTTGTTACTGTTCTTGCTGCTAGAACTTTTTTAAATAAACTTTTTTTCAATGTGATTTTTTGGTTGCTCAGTTTTTCTCCTGTAGATGGGTGGGGGGTTGGAGCAAGTGGTAGGGGGTACAGATTGCTGCCTTTGAAATTATGCTAAAATGGCAAGTGCTGAGGTGAGCCTTGTGACATTACTTACTGTCAGTGTGAGTGTATAAGTTGCAGCGACCTTTAAACTCTAGTTTGTGTGAATGTTGTCAGGCTTTTATACTATTTTCCTAATCTAATTATTGAAAATAGCACCTCGTTTGTTTCCATTTCTTTGATAACTCCTGAGGCAAATATATTTCCCTATTTTGGTTTGCTATTTATTAGGCATTCTAAAGTTCTCTTCTAACTTCCCCTTTATTTCAAGACAGGGAGTGTAACAGCTCTTTCTCTGAGTGCCTGCTGTGTACTCATTGCTTCGTACATTGTGACCACCATCACAAGTTGACAGAGTAAAAATTCCCACTCTTCCATAGCTATTCATCCCCTCTATAGCCAAAACTCTGCAGAGACCTAACTGTACTCACTCTTTCTTAATTCCCCATTGTATCACTCATAACATTTCACGGGATTTCCTCAACAGTGAAATGGGTTGTTTTTTTTTTTAAGTATTTGTAGTTAAAAAGGATTACATTCTAAGAACATCCTAAGACACTTAAAAATAATTCCTTGAGGTAACCTTAACTGTACTAACAATTGCACTTAGATGTCTCAGGGAAATGAACTGTGTGTTTAGAAGAGCATGTTGATGGTGTAAAGGTGGGAGTTTGCAAACTTTTCTGTGAATAGCCAGAGAGTATTTTATAGGTTGGATGATCTCTGTTGCAAGTACTCAGCTCTGTTGTTGTGAAAAAGCAGCCATTGACAAAACATAAGCAAGTGGTTGATGCTGTGTTCCAGCCAAGTTTTATTCCAAAAACAGGTCACCAGCCAGAATTAGTGTTATAAAAGAGATCCCACAGAGCTTTCTACACCCTTCTATCATGTAAGAATTCAGCCAGAGAAGGGCCTTCACTAGACCATGCTGGTACCTTAATTTTGGATTTTCCAGACTCTTGTCTATAGTATTTTGTTATAGCAGCCCAAGATAGATTAGATAGATGATGGATGGATGGATGGATGGATGGATGCATGGATGGATGGATGGATGGATAAATAAAGTAAATTCCCCCTCTCCTAATCCAGATTTCTACTTTCATGTTTTTAGTTACCAAAAGAGCTTCCAGTACCAGTCATTTAATGCCCTTGATCTTGAAGGATAAGCCATGGTTAGAACATGTTTAAAGATGTTCTTCCAGGAAAAAAGATTTTCCAGCATATCTGAACAGCTGGTTTAGAGTCTTCTCACATTCACATATTCTTGAAAGATTTGTTAACCAGAAAGAGTAGTATAGTTGTAGTTTTCCACAACATATCTTCCTCTGCCTTGTCATGGTCTAATTTTTCAATCTGTATATGTGACCTGAAAGGTAAGTCCCACTAGAATATATAATGCTGGAGGGCAAATTATGCTAACTGAATATATAGGCATACTGTCATCTCATTGACCAGTCAGCATCCAAAATAATTCCAAACTATCCAGAGATCCCTGTTTCTTTTCTAACATGTCACACTTTCCCTGTTTCTTTTCTAAAAAAAAAAAGGTCACACTTTCAGCTTTGGTAGTGTATTCGTTAATTCATTCAACAAATATTTATTGAGTGCATTCCTTGTACCAAGCACCAGTAGAAGTATTGGGGATATAGCGGTGAACTAAAAAGGTACAAGCCCTTCTGGAGCTTATATTGTAGAGGTTGAAGGTATAGACTCTGAAATGAAACTTGCTAGTTCATATCCCAATTCCACCATTCTGTGTGACCGATTGTCTCTGTAAAACAAGCTCAGGGGCCTCCCTGGTGGTGCAGGGGTTAAGTCTCAGTGTTAGCACAGCTGCGACCTGAGTTAGATCTTGCCAGAGAACTAACCCACATATGGCTCAGCAGACCTCTCCTGTCTTGCTTGCTGCTCCCCTTAGAAGTGTATTTCATTAGATCTGCCTGTTCTGCTCCCCACTGTCCCTGGTGAATCCTCTCACCCCCCATCCTCTCACACCTCTAGCCTACACCCCAGTTCTATGCATAAGTAAATAAATAAATCTTTTTAAAAAAATACAGTGACAATGGTTTTGACTAGGTGGAAAGCAATTGAGGTGGCTAAGAGTAGTCATATCCTAGGAGAATTTGAAGGCAGAGTCCACAGTTCACTGGAAAACTGGGTGCAAGGGAAAAAAGAAGTGGATGGTTCCAGAGTTTTTGTCTGGAGAAACTGGAAGCAGCAAGTTGCCATTTATGACCTGGGAAAGGTTGTGAAGGATTCGAGGATGGGCATTTCATTGTGTTATCTTTGAGATGTTATTAAGTGTCCAAATAGTAACTGATAAATTAACTCTGGAAAATTACTTTCCTGAGCCTTTACCTTTATCTTAGACTAGAGAGTATCAATGATACTCTGAAACCTGCCTTCAAAAACGAATTGTCATGGGGCCTCCCTGGTGGTGCAAAGGTTAATACGCAAACTGAAGCAATCCGCAGCCACTGGGGCATGAGTTCTATCACTGGCCAGGGAGCTACCCACATGGTGCAGCAGACCTCTCCTGACTCGCCCGCTGCTCCCCTCAGCAGTGTACTTTGGTCAGTCTGCCTGTTCTGTTCCCCGCTCTGTCTCCGGTGAATCCTGTCACCCCCCACACCTCTGGCCTGTACCCCAGTTCTTGTATGCATAAATAAACAAATCTTTTAAAAATAATTTTTATGAACCTCACCTTCACCTGCAAAGTGGACTTAATAACCATCTCCTAGGTTAAGATGAAATAGATATTTGTTAAGCATTTAACCCAATAATCTAGCGTTCGACAAGCCAACAGAACCTGTTGGCTTGTTCTCTTAAAACTGGATTAAACGTGATGTTTTAGATTGTGTCAGTGAAAACAAACTGTACTCTCTAGAGCCCCGCAGCAAAAGATTTACTGTACCTAATGAAAGTAAGAGCTCTACTCTGGGTCTGCAGAAGTCACAGTGGTTTTGTAGAAAGGGAAATACGCAGGAAATTAACACTGGGTGTGGTAAATGACAAGCTGCCCTGGCGACCACACTTCCCAGCAGCCCTCGCGCAGCCAAGCACCTTCGCGGATTGGACGCCTTCTCATGAGGCGGGTGGCGGGGGGGCGGGGATAGGCCCGAGGTACTGTGGGTAGGAGACGGCCGGCGGCGAGGGCGCCATTTTGTGAGGCGGCCGTTCCCTGTTGGAGGTTCTGGGGCATAAAACCACTACTACTGCTGCTTGGGTCCCTCCTGGGGGTAAGTGCAGCTGCCACTCGTAATGACCGGCGGTTCTTAATGTCGGAGCAGGCCTTGTGGCCCCTCCCTGTCACCCGCGGGCGGTGGTCGATCGGCCTCAGCCGGGTCACTCCAGGTGCTAAATTACCCCAGGCATCGGAAGGCCGCGCCCCTCCTCTCCACCAGCACTGTCAGCTTGCACAGGGCGTCCTGCAGCCCGCTTCTTTCGGGTTCTGAGTTTTCCCCGACCGGCACGCGTCTCCGACTCCACAGCCCGGCCGCCTGTCCCTCGGGTACTCCTTCGGGGCGCCCCGCAGTCTGTAGCCGCCATCGCCCCGCAGCTGCACTTGAAACCGCTCGCTCCGCAAAAGTGATCCTCGGACTGGGGACCTCTCGGGGGATCGGGAAGCACTGTCAGGGAGGAAGGGAGAGCCGGACGTCCAAGCCGGTCACGCAGGCCGTGTCGCCGCCATCTCGGCTGCGACATCCCACGGAGGTGGGTCTGGGTACTGCCGGGGAGAGAAGGGATGGCATCGGCACTCTGTCTGTGGCCTTGTTTTCTCCCAGATGGTTCGCTTCCGTTTATTAATTCTGCAAACGTTCGTTGAGCGCCTACTCTAGAACAGGCGCCACGGACGGCTGTAACTAGTTACTCAGTCCAAGTGCGCGTCGAACGCGATTTCGCTCTGTGATGTTTCATCGCCGCCGTGCGCTGCGGGGCGCCGCTGGCCGCCACTCAGACTTGGGTAGTGGACCGACTGGCCCTATACGTGGTGCTTTTTGTTGCTGAAGAATTAAGTCGTGTCGAGCTCTGCGCTTGTCTCATTGAAATAGCTTTGGCTTAACCAGTGCGTTATAAATGGAGTATATTTCAATCAACTCAGCGTTCGACTTGTAAAAGATTTTAAATTTTTCATCAGAAAATTTTGAATTTCATGTTGCTCCTTGTATTAACAAAGACACTTTGATGTCTTAACGGTCAACCCCCATTGGAGTTGCTTTGATTCAGAACACAGGGAGCTGACTGCAGATCTATTCTTTTTGCTTTTTGATCTTAAAGTAGAAGCAGGAAAGGAGTCTTAGGAGTCTTATGCTTGCACCTTTTTAAGGGTTTTGTTGTTGAATACGGAATCTAATATTTTAAAGTAGGCTTCATCTTCCTCCTATGTTCATTGTTACCAAATGTTAGCATGTTTTAATCTTGGCAGTTGGTCCCTGCCCTCACTTTAGATAATCACTATTCATGATTTGATGAAATTCCAACCTCAGTAAGCGTCCCTGTTTATAGAACGATTGACTCAAGTGATCTCTCAGATTTGCAACAACCAATCTCTTTGTCTTCTAGGGAGGAAAAAACAACAACAAAATTTAAACCTTTGGAGCCCAGTGCTAGATCTTAACTAAGACAATGGGTTCAGACAAACGGTAAGTTACTGCTGCTGTACATGACTTTGATCTCAACATTTCATTGGGGATTCAATAACTTGTTAAGAGTGGTTTATCAAATAAGTGTTGGTCTATTTTATGCCAGGCATTGCTATGAGCACCATGATACTTGCTCTCAGTAGCATTTACTTTAGTGAGAGAATTACTGTGTGAACCTGCTGTGATAAGTAATTTGAGGGTACTGTTAGAATAAATAGGAAGTATGTATTTTTCTGGAAACAACCAAGAAAGCTACCTGGAGAAAGTTTTCTCTAAGAAATTCTCTAAGAAAGTATTCTCTGAGCCTGAGCGTAGGTAAGAATTAGGCAATGGAGGGCAGGATGGAGTGTGTCCCTGACGTTTCCCAGTGTGAATAACAGCCTCTTAAGAAGCCAGGAAAGCATATAGTGTGACACTTTGCACTCTGTCAGCAATCAATGAATACTTGTTCCTGTTGTCCCCTTGAAAACAAGGTGATCCAGATTTACAGAGCTGAAGCTTTGAATAGTGGGTTACATCAACAGCAACAAATCGCAAAACTGCTGAAGAATTAGTGGAGAGTTAAAACTTGACAGCATTTGCCTGTGGTGTTATCTGTGGATACTCCCACTCAACCTTTCTTGAGCGTTGTATGTTAAACCTTTGAGTTAACACACGCAACCTTTACTTATTCGGCTGCCTTGCCTCCTTGGTATTGAGGCCAATCCCAGTGATGGATCAAATTGATGGCCCAGAGAAAGACTCAGGAAATGTGCAGGTCACATGATGTCATTGTTGTAATGCTGTGTCTGTCAGCAATCTGTCATTTAAAAAAAATTCCCCCAAAAAAACACTTTAAAATGTAACCTATACCTGTTTAGTGTATCTCATCCCCATTCTGAAGTACACCTAGACTATTTTTCATTGGTTTCTTTTTATTAAATTTATATATTCTATATGAGGCTCTTGCAAGCCTTTCCTTTGTCTTGTCCTTATACAGTTTTATGAACACAGTAAACTGTTCGTGAAAGAACTGTATCTATGGTCAACCTCATTATTAAATTTTCCTGTGAAGCCGATTGCTGCCCAATAACCAAAAATAAACAGGGTGTTATAGGAAACAATGTTTTGACAGTGCTAGTTATATCTGAATGCCTGGAAAAAGATTAATTTAACTCATCTAGGTTGTTGCTCCATTTCCCAGTAATAAGAGACCTTTGAGGGATAAGTTAGCATGCATTCTCCTCTGAAATTGGGTGAAGTGTTAATAATTGCTTTTTTCCTCTCTTTAATAAACTAAAATCACTTTAATCACTAAAATCTGAATCAGGGATGGAAGGAGGGATGTGTAGACTATTAATAGACTTGGGAAAACACAAGACAAAACTGGACAGCCAGACCCTTTCTCAAAAATATTAACCCAAACTTTTAATAGCTTTATTTTCAAATTTAGCGTGAATTTCTGAAAATTACTTTGCCTTCAGGAATATAGAAGTTTCCCCAGTGATTTTCTTTGTAAACTGGAATTTGGTGATAAAATTAAAGGGATGTGTTCAGCTATTTGAATGTCTTGTAAACTGAGCTACGGGTATATACGTGTTTTCAACAAATACAAAATGTGATGTACTTCAGAGTAAATGAAAATTGTTTTCCCTGACAGAGTCAGTAGGACAGAGCGTAGTGGAAGGTACGGTTCCATCATAGATAGGGATGACCGTGATGAGCGGGACTCCAGAAGCAGGCGGAGGGACTCAGACTACAAAAGATCTAGTGATGATCGGAGGGGCGATAGATACGACGACTACCGAGACTATGACAGTCCAGAGGTGAGTAACCAGCAACTGTTAATGCAGTTGTTGGGATTATGAACTGTATGCACATACTGCCAAGATTCTTGAAATAAGTACATTAAGTGTGCAAATCTCTCCTTGAATGTTATTTTCAAACCCTCTATTTTTCTGAAATCTTTTGTGAGTTGACTCTAACCCTTAAAACAAACAGCCTTATGGAAATATTGGCCAGGCTTACATAGGCTTAGCATGCACAAGACATTTAACTACATGAACTCATCATACTTACCTATAAAATGAATATTATTACCATTTTAAAGAGGCACTAGAAGCATATTAATATACCCCTATGCCTCAGACAGTGCTATTTTTCCTGAGCTAAATGTTCATTGCTAGTTTGTTTTTTGCTCTGTAAAAGACATTGCAATGAGCATCATCGTGGATGATGGAGTTCTGATATCATCTCTGTTATTCCTAAAGATAAATTCCTAGGAGTGGATGACCTAGATCAGAGGGTATAAACTCAGTGTGATTTTAATTGTTTGTTTATTGTAAATCAGAGAGAACGCGAAAGAAGGAACAGTGACCGATCTGAAGATGGCTACCATTCAGATGGTGACTATGGCGAGCATGACTACAGGCATGATCTCAGTGATGAGAGGGAGAGCAAGACCATCATGCTGCGCGGCCTTCCCATTACCATCACAGAGAGCGATGTAAGGGAAAACGGTTCTGATGAGCAGTCCCATAGGTGCAACAAACTTGGAGCTTCTGACACTTTCTTGTGTGATTATTTTATCTTAAACTAATAGCTCAGCTAGTGAAATATATTTCGGTCTTTAGGGTGGAGTTCTCTCATGGTGCAGATAAATTAATATTTTTATTAACACTTTGAAGCTCAATGTAGAGTTCTTAGAATTTCCTTAACTACAGGTTAAGGAACTACAGAAGTTCCTTAACCACGTCTTCGATAGCCCTTATGGGGGGTAGTCAGTACATTTTCATTGAATTGGTACTTATTCAGTAAGGATGTCTCATTGGTAAAAACACTTATGATGTGTCTGCCCTTTGGTTTGAGGAAAATTAGACTATCCATTTGAGACCTCTGAGAAGCCTATTGAAAAGGAAGGGTCATTTTCTGGCTCCCCATTCCTCAGACTGGGCCTTGGTATCCTGAGCACTGCCTTATTTCCACTGGCTTCTTTGACCCTCACCCATTCCTATCAGACACATCTGATAGGATGTGTCTGCTTCCCCTGCAGTCCACTTTGGACACATCCATCATTCTACCAAATAACCTTTTTCTGCTTGAAGGCCCTTTTTTGTGAAGCCTTTTCAGAAATAGCAAGCAAAATTTCTTCTACCTGGTTTTCTTCCCAAAGCACTGTATTTGTGACATATAGCACCTAGACTGGTTAACAACACACCTATCTCATTTCCCCCATAAGATCATAGATTTGTGTGAAACTCATCATTCCTGTGTTCCCACCCCTGGAACGCAAAAGACTACTCAGCCACCCCTGGTGAAATAAATGTGAGGTTTTAAAGTATGTTTTTAAAAGATGTAAATGCACAGCAGTGTGTTGGTGTCTTGGAGCATTCAGAGTAATACTTTCATGTTCCGGGAATTTTAGACAAAGTTAAAGATAAGTATTGGGTTCACACAGCTTTGGTCTTTTAAACACTAGAAGTGATAAATGTGAGATGGGATATTTGAGTTAATAATGGGTAATCATTCCATTATTTGGTCCACAGCACACCTCTCTACTGTGTACTATCTTAGATGCTACAATGATGCAGAGTTGTGGATCCTTCCTTGAAAAAGCTTGTAGATGAATAGCTACGATCAGCAGATGAAAATAATGCAGAGTGAAAAGGAATCAGTGTTGGAAGAGGTCCTGTGAATGGCTCTGGAAGTTTCTTTAATGAAGGTTGTTACTAGTGGAGGGATTTTTGAGGAACAGAAACGGTTTGGTGGAGAACTATGGGGAAGGTATGCCCCTTAGTAGGGGCACTGGTCAGACAGACCCGAGAATAGAAAGAGAAAGAATCAGCAACTCGATTTGACTAAAGTCAGAGACTTTTGGAGGAGGAGGCAGATATAGAGATGCTGTCGGGGCCAGGTGTTAGAGTCTGAAATCTCAGCTAAGTACAAAATAAAGTTACTGAGGATTTTGCCTGATAGTAGAAACAGTGCAGGTTAAAATGATGGAGGGAAAGAATAGTGATAGATGAGACAGGAACAACAACTGAGCTCAGGTAAAGGAAGCAGTGGGCTTGTGGAGTAGAAAGTGTGAGAAATCCTGCAAGAATCAATTCAGGCAAATGTATACCTTTGATCAGATTGCCCTCCTATGGAGCCTTTTAAGCCCATGACCCTGAGCCTCCTCAGAGGAAGTAGGTGGCATGGGGGAAACTGTGCCTACATGACTTGTGAGTCTTCCTTCTGGTAATGAAATAAAGTTGTAATAGTTAGGTAATTCAACCTTCGTCTGGGGAGTTGTAGTGCCTACCCTAAAAGAACTGGTTTTCAATGGAGAATTTCCAGGATTCCCAAATATTATGCAATATTAGAAAATTTGTTGAGATCTTTAAAACATTTTTAAATTAGTCTCCTAAACTTCAGTTTATCCTTTTTCATTGTCTTTAGTGTTCTGGTTCCCCATATATGAACTTTTTTTTTTTTTTAAGATTTATTTATTTATGCATACAAGAACTGGGGTGCAGGCCAGAGGTGCGGGATGTGAGAGGATTCACCAGAGACAGAGTGGGAAACAGAAGAGGAGAATTGACTGAAATACACTGCTGTGGGGAGTAGCAGGCAAGACAGGAGAGGTCTGCTGCACCATGGAATTATCTCACTGGTCAGGGATCAAACTCTTGCTACAGTGGCTGCTGATAGCTGAATAGTGCTGTGTCTTAACCCCTGCCACCAAGTAGGCCCCCATATGTGAACTATTAAGAGTAACTTTATTTAGTTATTATGTTGCTGTACCACTACTTCTTTAATGGTAACTATTAACTCTGGCACCTTTCTAGTTAACTATGTTACTAAGGTTGGACTCAGTGTAGCGCTTCTCGTACCCTGAAAAAATAGATACTATTGATTCTTAGTAGTAGTAGTAGTAGTTAGGAATACTGAACCATTGTTCCTAGAGAAAATGCAAAGTTATGTTTCTCTGAACATCAACATTTTCATTACCAGATCAGTATGTACCTTGTTGTGTGTATTTCTATTTAGAAGCACCTCATTAATACATATTGTTGAATGATTAATGTTGAACTCAGTAGAACTGTAACACATGCCTGAATGAAACTTAGATCTAAGATACATAAGTTCTCTGTAAGGGATATCACAGCTTTCTTGCACTTATGAAAACTAGACAGCACTTAAGCACTAAACTTAGAGAGCCATTTTAAACAGTGAAATCTGGGCACAGGGGTTTAAGTCTCAGTGCTATCAAGCTGTCCCCAGCCACTGTGGCATGAGTTCGATCCTCAGCCAGGAAGCTGACCCACATGGCACAGCAGACCTCTCCGTCTTGACGGCTGCTCCTCTCAGCAGTGAATTTCAGTAGATCTGCCTGTTCTGCTCCCCACTCTGCCTCTAGTGAATCCTCTCACCTCCCACACCTCTGGCCTACACCCCAGTTCTTGCATGCATGCATACATGAAAACAAATCTTTAAAAAATAAACAGATTGGGCCTCCCAGGTGGCGCAAGGGGTTAAGATGCAACCTATAAAGTTATCCGCAGCCACTGCAGCGTGAGTTCAATACCCAGCCAGGGAGCTACCCTCATGGTGCAGCAGACCTCCAGTCTCACCCACTGCTCCCCTCACCAGTGTATTTCAGTCTGCCTGTTCTGTTCCCCACTCTGTCTTTGGTGAATCTTCCTACCCCCCACACCTCTGACCTATACCCCAGTTCTTGTAGGCATAAATAATAAATCTTTAAAAAAAAATGAACAGATTAAGTAAAGGACACTTATTTACAATGTGAAAACTGAAACACTACAAAGCATTGCCCTAGCTGGGAACATGTGCATCGTGTATTGATTTGGAATTGTAAATTTTAGTTAATAGGCAAATTCACAGATACAAAATTCACAATGATAGTGGACCGATCTGCAACCATTGTACATAATGAAAAGTTGGGTTCACTAAGAATCTATTTCACAAATTCAGTCCTGTTTTTTTTTTCCTGGGACTATTGCTATCTGGTATGCTTGATAAAGAAATCAGTGTATTTTTTTTTTTTTATCATTTCCTGTTGTAGTAAGGTCCTGGCCTGACATTAGCAAATCTGTCTATTCTTCTATTAAGCTTATTTTGATTTATTAGAAATCTATGTATGTTTTGATTCTTGTTAATTTTTAGCATTAATTAAATGTAAGAAAACTTGATTTCTTAGGATTATTGGATGATTGGGATTTCTTAGGATATTGGGCAGAAATGTATCTCAAAGGAGTTCCTCAGTTTTGGCTACTGATCTTAATCATGTACTTTATTTTTTTATTTTTTTTTTAATTTTTTTTTATAGAGGCATGTTTTTTATTTATTTATTATTTATTCATTTGTTTGTTTTTGTTTATACATGCACTGGGTACAGTCAGAAGCACGGGAGGGTGAGAGAATTCACCAGAGCCAGAGCGGGGAGCAGAGCAGGCAGAAGGACCGAAGTACACTGCTGAGGGGAGCAGCGGGCGGCAGGAGAGGTCTGCTCGCCATGTGGGACCCTCCTCCGGTGGCCGGGGAGCAGCCGGGGATCAAACCAGCGCCGCAGAGGCCGCGGGCAGCTTCGCAACCCAGCGCTCAACCGCTGCGCCACCGGGGAGGCCCTTAATCATGTACTTTAGAGGCCCTCAGTGATATATCCTCTGCCTCTGCTAAATCTCATTTTCTCTCTGTTCCTTTAGAACAAAAGACTTAAAGATATTGAAGAATTAAAGAGGGAGTCTTGAGGAACAGTATACCATAAGCAAGACTTCATCACAACATAAATAATTGTGCCTGAGGGAATTCCCCAGGCCGCATATAAAAGACTTCAGGGCTGTTATACATTAATTTCTATGAAAAGTGTTCTTACTTCACTTTTTTTTTTCCTTACTTCATTTTTATATTTTATTTATTTTTTTGCATAGAATAACTAGGGTGTAGGCCAGAGGTATGTGGTGGGGGTGGGGGGGATTGAGAGGATTCACCAGAGACAAAGTGGGGAGCAGAGCAGGCAGATTTACTGAAATACACTGCTGAGGGGAGTAGTGGGCGAGACTGGAGAGGTCTGCTGCACCACATGTGGGTTAGCTGCCTGGCCAGGGATCGAACTCACCGCTCATAGCGAACTCATGGCCTCATAGCAGTGATAGCACTGAGACTTAACCCCTAGACCACAAGGGAGGCTCCACTCCATTTTTTTAATTGCATTTTGGGGCCTCCCTCGTGGCACAAGGGGTTAAGACGCAACCTTTGATGCTCACTGTAGCATGAGTTCGATCCCCGGCCAGGGAGCAACCCACATGGCGCAGCAGACCTCTCCTGACTCGCCTGCTGCTCCCCTCAGCAATGTACTTCAGTCAATCTGCCTGTTCTGTTTCCCACTGTCTCTAATGAATCCTCTCACCTCCCACACCTCTGGCCTGTACCCCAGCTCTTGTATGCATAAATAAATAAATCTTTTTAAAAAATAAATTGCATTTTGGTAATAGAAGTTTTAAACTTGACTACTTTAACAGTTGATGTAATCCCCTTGCCTTGCACTTTGTTTGGTGTGGAATAGTTTGTGACTGAAGCTTTAACTTTAAAATGTGTAAAACTCTGTGCAGATTCGAGAAATGATGGAATCCTTTGAAGGCCCTCAGCCTGCAGACGTGAGGCTGATGAAGAGGAAAACAGGTGAGAGCTTGCTTAGTTCCTGCTGTTCTGGTTCTCTTCCCCATTCCCACCTCAGTCCCTAAAGAACATCCTGATACCCCCAATCTTCAAGCACATGAATTCAGAATGAAAGGTTTGCCATGGCTAAGGAATGTGACTCTTTGAAAACGATGTTAGAGAGCATCTGAGGACCTTTTTTAAAAAAAAGCTTTGTTTTTAGGGGCTTTTTTTTCCTTCGGTAAGTAGTGATTTATAAACTCCTTGTTTGACTGTTTGTAGTCGGTTGCATGGTTACTTTTTAAGCGTGGAATCAAATCGAGTGGCATTTAGTTCAGGCGGCTTGGTTCCTTGCCATGGCAAAGTATCAAGAAGATCCCCAAGTCAAGTCACATTTGTAAAGCTGCTTCCCAATTGGCTTTGTCACGCAGTGTTGAAGCAGTGGGAGAGAGATTCACCTGTTATAAAGGAACTGACTAACACGAGTATCCCGTCTATATCTGAATGCTGTCTCTAGGTGTAAGCCGTGGTTTCGCCTTCGTGGAGTTTTATCACTTGCAAGATGCTACCAGCTGGATGGAAGCCAATCAGGTTGCTTCACTCACCAAGTCTAGATATTCATGAAAATGGAACAAGTCTGTACAATTAAAAAAAAAGGTTGAAGGAGTGGTTTGTTCCAAAGGAGTGACTTTTTAAAAAAAAAAAAAAAAAAAAAGCTTTGTATATATTAAAATTGATATTACTAGAATAAATAACAGTGCCAAGGACGGCATTGCAGAATTTGCCTTGCTTTTAAACATGGCTGCCTGGCAGGGCTTTGTTAACCACTGAATTACCAGACTGGTAATTACTACAACATCTTGATGTTCTCTTTTTCCCTACCTGATTATATTCCTATTCATTATGTTCACTGAGAGTGATTTTAGAATATCCTAACTCTCGATTTGACAGCAAAGAGAATATAATGAAAGTTGACTACAGGCATTTTATAAGTAATTCCTTATTTCTGCTTGGAGTCCGAAAGGCGCCTGGAAGCATAACTGCTCATGTGGGTCTTCAAGAACTATTTAAGGACCTAGTGGAATTTATGAACAATAATTCTGATGAGATTAGCCTGGGAGCTGGTGTCCTGCTGCTGTCTAATCTAGTTAGAGTGGCATTAACATTCTAATCTCCCTGAGAATGCCTTTTATAGTCTGTTCAAAGCAAATCATTGATGGTTCTTTGATGCAGCGTTGACTGAAGTGTTCTTCAGTTTGTCAAGATAATGTTTGGTGCTTGGCAATTAAATAGCATTTTTTTGCCAGAACTCCAAAGCACAGTATTGAGTGCCATAACCAAGTGCATTCTGTGAAGTTTGCTTAACTCATTATATTGCTTTTCCATAGCATTTTATGACATAAATAAGTGTTATACTCTCTGATTGGTAATATATTACCATTTATAACAAGACTCACTCATGAATGAGGGTAGCCCTTTAATTGACTGATTTGTTAGATTTTTGAGCCTCTCATTTTCTTAACTCAGAATTGACAGCCTGATCTTATAAAAGTAAAGCTTCATTCATTTCATACCATGGACACCATCCTAGTAAATTCAGAATATGCACAAGCTTCACTGAGTCTGCTTTCTTGATGTGATAGCTTGTTTTGATGCAGTGGATGTATCAGACTGACTTCTGGGAGTTTAAAACTCCTCTGAGAAATTTAAACCTATAAGACATTTTAAAATCTCCACAATTTTAATGTATACAAAGCTATGTTAATGTGTAATACTTCATTACAGTTCAAATTCACTCCAGAAATAAAAGGCCAATAGGATTAGGGACTCAGTGGTAGTTTGGAGTCTCCCCCAGCACACATCCTTTAGTGGGATGATCTGTTGACATATATCCCAGTTTATTTTTGCTTCTGTACATCACAGTGAGTGGATGGCCCTTCAGCGCTTTTTCTTTTGGCCAGAAATGCAGTCTTGCCTTTAGATATCACTGAGACAACATTCACAGCATGTCTTAACTCTTCCAGGATTTGCAAGAACCAAATTGCTAACAGTATGTATGTTTAGAGGAGTTAGACTCCTCTTAAAAATCTGGATATCTAACCGCCTACTTAAATCTGTTCTGATAGTGTCAACCAACACCCCACTCCCTCCCCATTCCTCCAAAAAAAAGGAGGAAAAAAAGACAGTGCTCCGGTTAAATGAAGGCTCTTTGGGGGCAGATGCTGGGTATACTCTTGGCTAGACTGATCCAGCTTGGAGTTTTGCTATTTTAAAGTTAAGTCCCTTTTAGTCACATGGTTGACTTGAAGGATGAGGTGGTGTATGTGTTTATGAACTTTTCTTACCTCCCCCCTGAAGAAACTTCATTGGCCTCCTGGTCACTCATCTTGAAGAGAGTACCATCTATTACAGTGAAAAACGCTTCTATCATGTAGGACATTACATTGTTGCACTTGGCAGACAAAAATTCTCATTTAGCTGTTTTAGAGTGGATGGCATTCAGAATAGTCCCTCCTAAGAAAGAGTTGTAACCAGATTCCCTTTTAAAATGAGTTACCCTCCCCTTGTCCCCCACAGGACACATCCTGAAGCAAAAGTCTGGGGAAGGGGAACTTTGCATATGGATGGGGCCTGGGGGAATGTGAAGCGAAGCCCAAGGACACCATGCCAAGGGCTAAAGTAGGAGACAATCTCAGAACTGGGAGAGTTGTGTCTTCTGCTTTTTGAAATAGACTGTCACTCTCAGGCAGCCTGTCAATGCTGAATGTTAGGACTTCTGTCTCTGCTGGAGACACGGCCTGGTGCATGTCAGTGTTTAGTGTTTGGCAGCTTTCTCAGCACTCCCTGACTCCGTTTACCTTTACTCCGTATCCCATTCTCTTACTGCCTATCTGAAGGATTGGATGGGCAGAGTATAGGTGGCGGTGGTTGGTCCTCCCCGTATGTTGTCCATTTAATTCCAGAGCACTGATTTTTCCGAAGTGTGCTCTGCCCTGGGAAAATGGACACAAGTTCCTCACAATGGGAATAACTAATTGCTTCTTTTTTTACAGAAAAAGTTGGTGATTCAAGGAAAACACATTGCAATGCATTATAGCAACCCCAGACCTAAATTTGAAGATTGGCTTTGTAACAAGGTAAGCCGGTATTCTTCCCATGCTATCCAAATAAGGAAACTTTTAAGTATACAATCACTGACTTTTATCATAAGGTGATTTTCATACTTTGTGACTTACTTTAGGTATTAGAGGACAGGCTCCCAAGAACACTGTAGAAATTTTAAGATCCAGTGTATAAGCCCAGGGTCTCAATATAGATTTTAGGTTTGTTTCACTTTACCATTTCCTGAATTCTAGAACTTCTTAAGTTTTGGTACAGTCTCTTAATAAATTAATAAAAATCCTGTGACCCTCCCCAAGTTAATTAAGGTTAGCTATGGTCCTATCACCAGTACATCATTTTTTTTTAAAGATTTATTTATTTATGCATACAAGAAATGGGGTACAGGGGCCTCCCCGGTGGCGCAGCGATTGAGCGCTGGGCTGCAAAGCTGCTCTCAGCCTCTCGCAGCACCGGTTCGATCCCCGGCCTCCGGCGAGGGTCCCACATGGCACGCAGACCTCTCCTGCCGCCCGCTGCTCCCCTCAGCGGTGTACTTCATCAGTCTGCCTGCTCTGCTCTCCCCTCTGGCTCTGGTGAATTCTCTCACCCTCCTGCGCTTCTGACTGTACCCAGTGCCTGTATAAATAAATAAGTAAATCTTTTTAAAAAAAAAAAAATTCTGAGAAATATAAATTTCATCCTGGAATGCCATACCTGAAAAAACAAGTAAGTGTGTAAAATCCCAAGTCCTAGAAAAAAAAAAAAAGAAATGGGGTACAGGCCAGAGGTGTAGAGGGTGAGAGGATTCACCAGAGACAGAGTGGGGAACAGAACAGGCAGACTGACGAAATACACTGCTGAGGGGAGCAGTAGGCGAGTCAGGAGAGGTCTGCTGCACTATGTGGATAGCTCCCTGGCCAGGGATCGAACTTGTGCCACAGTGGCTGCAGATGGCTTCATAGGTTGTATCTTAACCCCTTCCACCACCAGGGAGGCCCCACCAGTACACCATTTTAAAGTTTGGTATTGCCGTTGACATTTTGAAAAAGGGCAGCCTCTTTGCATTTGTCCAATAGAGAACTCTAGGCAGCGTTCCACTTACATTGTGTTTGTATATGTGAAGTGGCCCATGTCATTCTCCTTTAATATAATGGACTTTGTTGGTGACTCTTTGTAGATTTTATAGGAAAATACTAAAACTTTTTCCCAACTTGATAAAAATAAAATTCTACTTCAAAATAGGTGAGGAATTTTTTTCTTGGAAGAATTCAGAATTTTAGATTAATCCTTCTTGATCTTGGATATATATTACTCTGTTTTTTTTATGTTGCTTATCAGCACTGCCGTGGCCATAATGCTCTAACCCACATTGTTACTAGTAAGCCTGACCTACTGTGAGAAATAATTACAGATATTTTTTTTTCCAGTGCTGCCTTAACAATTTCAGGAAAAGACTAAAATGCTTCCGATGTGGAGCAGACAAATTTGGTAAGCCCAGATTCACCTGTTTGAAAAATGCATGAAAACCTGACTGATTGGGTTGTCTGTGAATCTGAGGGAAAGTGCACATTGTAGAGTATTTAAATAAGTAATTTGTATATTTGCCTTGACCTTAGATTAGGCAGATGCTGCCGATGATGGTGAGAGTGGAGAGTTGTTTTTTTTTAATAAGCTTTATTTTATTTATGCATACCAAAACTGGGGTATCGGCCAGAGGTGTAGGGGTGAGAGGATTCACCAGAGACAGAGTGGGGAGCAGGACACACAGATCTACTGAAATAGAGGAGCAGGACACACAGATCTACTGAAATAATATACTGCTAAGGGGAACAGTGGGAGACACAGAAGTCTGCTGCACCATATGTAGGGTTAGCTCCCTAGCCAATGGAACTGGGGATGCAGCCATGATAGCGCTAAGAACTTAAGCCTTAGGCCACCAGAGGAGCCCCGAGAGTTTTGTTTTTTTTTTTAAGATTTACTTATTTATGCATACAAGAGCTGGGCTACAGGCCAGAGGTGGGAGGCAGGGACAGTGAGAGGATTCACCAGAGACAAAGTGGGGAGCAGAACAGGTGGGTTGACAGAAATATACTGCTGAGGGGAGCGGCGGGCAAGACAGGAGAGGTCTGCTGCGCCCTGTGGGCCAGCTCCCTGGCCAGGGTTGAAAGTCGTGCTGCAGTGGCTGCAGATAGCTTCATAGTGCTGAGACTTAACCCCTTCCACCACCAGGGTGGACCCTGGATATATTTCTTACTTAAAAAATACATTGGTTTGTTTTTTGTTTTAAAAATTAAATCTCCTCTCCCTCTATCCTTCTTGTAGACTCTGAACAGGAGGTGCCCCCTGGAACCACAGAATCAGTTCAGTCTGTGGATTACTACTGTGATAGTAAGTTCAGGTGTAAACTTTTGGTCTTTTATTAAAGGTTGGAAATTTTTATTCTCTTACCCTTTTAAATGAGCAAGTTTTAGAATGTCCCATAAGAGATTGGTTTTTAGAATCTTCACCATGTCGGAGTGAAAGATATACTAGATATATACTATAAACCTCCCAAAATTACTTTGAATTAATTGTTTGTATTTGAACATGCCTTGGAAAGCATTGGTGGTGGGAATGTGCATATATGTTGGGGGGGGGGTGTCTGTATGTCTCTCTCATTTGTTTCATTTGTCCCCAGCAATCATACTTCGAAACATTGCTCCACATACTGTGGTGGATTCCATTATGACAGCGCTATCTCCCTACGCATCCTTAGCTGTCAATAACATTCGCCTCATAAAAGACAAACAGACCCAACAGAACAGAGGCTTCGCGTTTGTGCAGCTGTCTTCTGCAATGGTGAGGTGCTCAATGACTCTTTCCTTTTAAAAGAAACAGCTTCTGGAGACCTCCAATTATGATACTGTGTTTACGGCTCCTGGAGTCCAAAGTTCGAAAGTGCATAATGACATTTATTGCGGTGCTAAATTATAGGACCAATTGCTTCAATTGGTGGTAAAAAGAGCATATACCTGAGTTTGAGCCACAGTTCGGTCTTCATGCTTTGTTGTATTGATTTAGTACTTCCTTAATAATACTGGATAATTTTACATCCTGGAGGGGGGTGGAATTCTTTTCAAGGTTTCATGTCCACAAACAAAAAGAAATTACTGGTAATTTTTAATAGAAAGCTTTATTTCTTTGAATGGGGTAGGGAGGTAAAGAGATTTCTAATTACTTGACATTTATTTTCAAATTTTCCTTCAGGATGCTTCTCAGCTGCTTCAGATATTACAGAGTCTTCATCCTCCTTTGAAAATTGATGGCAAAACTATTGGGGTTGATTTTGCAAAAAGTGCCAGAAAGTGAGTGGCTTCATTGTTGTTATTTCGAACTGCTGCATCTGTACACTTCTCTTGGGGCAGCTTTGCTTAACTATACCATGAGCCCATGTTCTGTACATTGAGACTGTCCTGCCTGGTTGCAAAGACAGTTGTCTTCTCATAGAGCTTATTCCCTCCTGTCCACGATAGCCAGTTGCCAAAAAAACTTTAGAGCAGGGAAAACGCAAACATGGCAGATGGATTAAGAATATACACTAAGCAAACTGCTTCGGGGTAATACAGACCCATCTGGAAATAATCCTTTCTTTCCAGAGCAGCATACTAATAGCTTCATGTATGTGGAGCTTTAGCCTAGCAATGTAATTTCCTGTTTCTTGTACCACTGCTTATCCAGCTGGCACCTTATTAGATGGCAGGGTACAAAGTAGAGCCATGATTCTACAGGATACTTACCTACCGAGGAATTTACCCCAGAAGGTTTCAGAGCTTGTTCTGCTCTAAAATATGGCCCTGGTGGTATTCAAAACCCCCTAAAGAAGGCTGGAATGAATTGCTAATTCTTTTCATGTGGGGATACTTTTTTTTTTTTTTTTTTTTTTTAAGATTTATTTATTTATGCATATTAGAACTGGATTACAGGCCAGAGGTGCGGGAGGGTGAGAGGGTTCACCAGAGATAGAGTGGGGAACAGACCAGGCAGATTGAAACTCACTGCTGAGGGGAGCAGTGGGCGAGCCAGGAGAGGTCTGCTGTGCCATGTGGATGGCTCCCTGGCCAGCGATAGAACTTGTGCTGCAGCGGCTGCGGACAGCTTCATAGGCTGAGTCTTAACCCCTTGCGCCACCAGGGAGGCCCCATGTGGAGATACTATTGGGAGCATATTGATGTAGGATCGAATGATTGGGTCTTTGCGGTTTCAGAGACTTGGTCCTCCCAGATGGTAACCGGGTCAGCGCCTTCTCTGTGGCTAGTACAGCCATTGCTGCTGCTCAGTGGTCATCCACACAGGTGAGATGGAGGATCTCTTTGCTCAAAGTAGTGACCTTTCCTGTAGTACTCGCCTATGAAGTAAACTATCCAAGGACCCTTTTTTTTTTTTTTTAGGATTTATTTTATTTATGTATGCATACAAGAACTGGGATGTAGGCCAGCGGTGCGGGAGGGTGGGGTGAGAGGATTGACCAGGGACAAAGTGGGGAACAGAATAGGCAGACTGACTGAAATACACTGCTAAGGAGAGCAGTAAGCGAGACAGGAGAGGTCTGCTACACCATGTGGGTTAGCTCCCTGCTTGGGGATTGAACTCATGCTGCAGTGGCTGTGGATATCTTCATAGTGCTGAGACACTAACCCCTTGTGCCACCAGGGAGGCCCTATCCAAGGGCATTTTTAGGAAATACTCCCTAGCTTTCCTTACCCACTAAGTTTGTGTTTCCTCTTTTGATGGCTTGTAGTCTCAGAGTGGTGAAGGAGGCAGCGTTGACTACAGTTACCTGCAGCCAGGACAAGATGGCTATGCCCAGTATGCTCAGGTAGGTAGATTTTGACCAACATCCAACTTCTGATCTCCAGAGTGTGTCTGAGAAGAGCAATTTTAACAATGGACTTTTCTTCAGTACTCACAGGATTACCAGCAGTTTTATCAGCAACAGACTGGAGGATTGGAATCTGATGCATCATCTGTAGCAGGTAGTAAACATTATCTCTCTTTTATCTTTTGTTTAAGCATCTGCATCTGAGGAGATATTTAACTAGATCCAAAAATATGTGTCAGTTTACCCGCAAGGGGGCTTGGGGGGTTGGATTCAGATTGCCTCATGTGCCTAAGGTTCTGGAGAAGTATTCAGATTGCATATCTACACCAGGAGCTAATGATAACCTCTTAGACACCATGTCATGATGGGTCTTCATTTTTGGATGTTAGCAGTATATTTTCCTTCACTGTTGTTAGGAATTGTGGAGAGCCACATAAGTTCCAGTGAGCAGACACAGTGTGGTCCTAGAGTCTGATGTCCAGAATGTCAATCAGAAGAGTCACTACAAGAAGCCTTTACTTTGTGTTCCATTATTATATAACCTTTGTAGCTAAATCTTTTCTCAACCCCAGAGCAGAATGTTTAACTTTGTAGTCATGTTCTAGTGGGGTTATAGAAATGAAAATGTCATAGGTATTTAGTGGGAGTTAGATTATTAAAGACTAACATGCACAAAGACAGGAGGCCAGATTGGGCATTACAGATAAAGGTGTTTGCCTTAAATTTGAGTGTTTTGTCTCTTCCTAATCCCTATTTTTATCATAGGCACAGCAGTGACCACCACCTCAGCGGCTGTAGTATCTCAGAGTCCCCAGCTGTATAATCAAACCTCCAATCCGCCTGGCTCTCCGGTAATCCTGATGTCCTGAATTCAGAAGTGGTGACTGTTGGGGAAACTTTGTTTTGGTGTACAAGTATTATCGTATTATATGAGCTAGAGTTGAGTAATACACACACATTCCAACCTTACTTCTCTTATAGTTTCACTCTATGTGTATGTATCTTAAGTATAAGATGCCAAACTGGGTATATTTATACTTTGTGCATGCTTCAACTTGACCTTTTAGGAAGAAAGTTACCAGCCTGTGTTTTGCTCAAGGAGTGCCTTAGTTCATTGCTACAGTATGTCTGTCAGGGGAGCGCTTCCTCCTAGGTGATTGCAGTGATTTAGTTATCTTAAGAGGCTTTTACAGTTGAAATTATATTGAAGCTGCTGTTCTTTCCAGACTGAGGAAGCACAGCCTAGCACTAGCACAAGTACACAGGCCCCAGCCGCTTCCCCCACTGGTGTAGTTCCTGGTACCAAATATGGTAAGCCAAACCTCATGGGGCTGTTGACAGTTGGAAGGTCCTAACTGTTGTCTTTGTTTAATAAGAGTTCCTCTCCCTTTGTGGGTGTCAAAGGGACACGGGGGATATGAGAGAGGACCGAGGACCATTAAAAGGCCTGCTGCATCTTGCTGGCTTAGAATTTAAGTGAAGCTAGTTTCCTAGCTGAAGGAAGAACTGTATGCTGGATTTTGTTTTTGCAGCAGTGCCTGACACATCTACTTACCAGTATGATGAATCTTCAGGATATTACTATGATCCGACAACAGGACTCTACTATGACCCCAACTCGCAGGTAAATGCACTGTTTTCCTCCTTTGTCTCACTAGGAATATCTTACTTTCACTTAGTCCATTTATGAGGTATGAAATGAAAATTTCCCTGCAGAGAAGCAAGCGACCCAGACTAGTTTTAACTTCTTCAAAACCACCAGGGTGTAATTTTTATTTTAAGATTTAAACCTTTTTTACTAAGGATTTTATTTATTTTTTTGAAATTTACTCTCACGTGTTTTTGTTTTTGTTTTTGTTTTTTAATGCATACAAGAACTAGGGTACAGACCAGAGGTGTGGGGGTGGGGGAGGTTCACCAGAGACAGAGTGGGGAACAGAATAGGTGGACTGACTGAAATACATTGCTGAGGGGAGCAGCAGGTGAGACAGGAGAGGTCTGCTGTGCCATGTGGGTCAGCTCCCTGGCCAGGGATCGAACTCATGCTGCAGTAGCTGCCAATAGGTTCATAGTGCTGACACTTAATCTCTTGCACCAGCAGGGAGGCCCACTAAGGATTTTAAAAATGTGTTTTGAGTTAAAACATATTCACAGAAAAAGTACACACACCTGAATTGTGCAGATCTTTGTTTACATGTGTGCACATCTGTAGTACATGTGTTCAATCTATATTACATACCAGTAGTGAAATAGAAGACAGAGTATTCTAACATGCTGAAACTGCCCTTGCTAGTCAGTACCCTTCTCCTTCAGTAACTACTGTTCTGACTTCTGTTATGATGAATTCTTTTGTCAGGTTAAAATTTGTAAGTTAATCTTTGTGTAAAGACCTAGGTAGTTTTAAGTTGTGAGTTTTCTTTATTCATATGTGTATATATATATATATATGTATGTTTTTATGCGGGGATTGAGAGGATCCACCAGAGACAGAGCGGGGAACAGAAACAGGTAGACCGACTGAAATACACTGCTGAGGGGAGAGCAGGAGAGGTTTGCCTCGCCATGTGGGTTTCTGAACCTGGCCAGTCAGGGATCGAACTCATGCTGCAGAGGCCATGATCACCTCATAGTGCGGTGCTTCACCCCTTGCGCCACCAGGGAGGCCCTATATGTTTTTTTAACAGATAAAGTTCACACAACAGAAAATGAACAGTTTAAACCTTGTAGCGTATATATATAATTCAGTGTTATTTTAGCATAGTCATAATTTTGTGCAACATCACCTTTGTCCAATTCCAGAATATTTTCATCACCCCAAAGGGAACCTGTATCCATCAAGCAGTCATTCACTAATTCCTCTTCAACCCAGAAACCACTGTCTGCCTCTGTTTCTAGGTCTGCCTATTAAACATTTCCTTTTTTTTTCCTTTTTTTTTTAAGATTTATTTATTTATTTATTTATACAAGCACTGGGTACAGTCAGAAGCGTGGAGGGTGAGAGAATTCACCAGAGCCAGAGCAGGGAGCAGAGCAGGCAGAAGGACCAAAGCACACTGCTGAGGGGAGCAGCGGGTGGCAGGAGAGGTCTGCGCGCCATGCAGGACCCTCCTCCGGTGGCCGGGGAGCAGCCGGGGATTGAACCGGTGCTGCAGAGGCTGCGGGCAGCTTCACAACCCAGCGCTCAACCACTGCGCCACTGGGGAGGCCCTAGACACTTCCTAATGGACATTTCCAATTCCAAATGGAATTGGATAACACGTGACCTTAATGTGTTCATCTTCTTTCACTTAGCATCCCTGTGAGTTCTTGAGTGTAGAAATTAACAGATCTATGGAGTGGTATTTTATTTTTGATGGTGTATGTCTTTTAGAGAGGAAAAGCAACTCCAACACTCCATAAATAGACAACTATTTATGACCAAGAGCGGTATATATAGAATAGTAAAATAAGTGCTTTTAACAGGAACTTTGCCTTGAGAGCTTGTGGTTTCTGAGAGAGAGGTGTGAAGCTATGTGGGACCTGCCTAAGCAGGCCAGACCTCTGCATGGTTCTTCCACTTCAATTACTAGTGAAGTCAGACCATTTCCCAGCAGTTTTTCTTCATGACCATAGAAGCTGCAACATGTATCTATAACCCACACTACCCTCCCTTACTGCCCTTACACCCCTTGCATAGCAATCTCTCCAGAGTCCCTGCTGAGCAGGTAGATTGAGTGGGGAATAAATAGAGGATTATAAGGGCTGCTTCTCTGGTACACTTCTTGCCACACACTTTAGATCAGGTTCCTTTAGCTATCTCCTGCTCCCAGGCTCCCAAGCTAGCATTTTGAAACCCTACGTTTGGTTGCTCGGGTTTCTAAAAGGGTTTGTATGGTTAAACCTGATGACTAGATGTTAACTGGTTGTCATGGAGGATGTGTGATTAAAAATTCCTCTTGAACCACCTGTTCTGGCCAATTTGGTTTGTATGAGTGGTCACTACAGATTGAGGGAGATGCATTGCTCTTTGGATGCCTTGAGGCCCAGGAATTGAAATGGGAATTACACACTTAAGAAGCCATATTCTGCTTTTGTCCAACAAATTTCACACTGTTCACTGGCTGGCTCATCATCCTATCCTACACCACGGTGGGTGGGCAGGAAAATTCCTGATCTGCAACTTGTTTTATGTTTGCATGTTTAGTTTTTTTGACAAAACAACTTTCACTTGCCTTTTTAACAAAACGTTACCTGATATTAATGGTTTGACATAACAGAACGTAGGCATTAAGTGAATTTTTTTTTTTCTAGTACTACTACAATTCTTTAACCCAGCAGTACCTTTACTGGGATGGAGAGAAAGAGACCTATGTGCCAGCTGCAGAGTCTAGTTCCCACCAACAGACAGGCCTACCTCCTGCAAAAGAGGGCAAGGAAAAGAAGGAGAAACCCAAGAGCAAAACAGCCCAGCAGGTGGTAACACATGACCCGGCCAGGGGACTCATACTTCTCTCTGGGCCTTAGTTTTTTTGGGGGGTGGCATTTACATTGACTTCATTTTGATTTGTAAAAACTGGGCCCATGATACTTCCATTAAGTTCGTAGACCATTTTGCTATTTTTTAATGTTACCCATCTATTGTCTCTTAACTGTCTGTTAAGAGGGAGGGAGGGGAGTGGTCCTTGAAGACTCACAGCAATATTCATGAATGACTGGTTGTATGCAATAGCATCTCATGAAGATATTTGTAGCTAGAAATGGAGCTAACACGGGTGTAAGACCCTTGTTGGCTTATGGTGGTGGCACAGGGGACTATTAAAATTCTAAGTTGCTCTACCTAAATGATAATTGGTGGTGGTTATTTGACATTAGATCGCCAAAGACATGGAACGCTGGGCTAAGAGTTTAAACAAGCAGAAAGAAAATTTTAAAAATAGCTTTCAACCTGTCAATTCCTTGAGGGAAGAAGAAAGAAGAGAGTCCGCTGCAGCAGATGCTGGCTTTGCTCTCTTTGAGAAGAAGGTAACTGTAGCAGGAATGACCAGACTTGATAATGTGAACATAAATAACATTTGGGACTTTTAACTTGTTCTCTGTTTCCCAGGGAGCCTTATCTGAGAGGCAGCAGCTCATCCCAGAATTGGTGCGGAATGGAGACGAGGAGAACCCCCTCAAAGTAAGGAAGTGCCATCAGCATTTAAAGATCATTGTCTGTGGTTTATGTCTCAGTTTGATTCTTAACTGCATCGTAGCTCTTGTGACTGCTGCCGGGACTGGATGTGGTTACTGTCAGTGGGTATTTGGAGCAGCTTTTGCATATGGAATCCATGTTGAGGGCTTTGCTTTCCCTGTGTGCAAGTACGTGAGGTGGAGTGTTAAATGTACCTCAATTCTAAACTCAGTTAATTGACTTTGTTTGAATCTGTAAATAGACAGTTTTAATGGTATGGAAAGAGAAAATTAAGACTCCGAAAAAAGTGTTTTACCTGATAAGACTAGTCTGGGTGGACCATTACTTTGATGTTTTGGGTTTTCACACCTGGTTAATGGTTTGAAACCACTCACTCAAACCAGGAACTCTTTTGGGGGGGCCCCAAGAGGTTGATACCAGGACACCTACAGGCCATGGGAATTCTTTCACATCTTGGATAAAGATTTACTGTAGCCAGCTGTGGAGCCATTGCTGTCTTCCTTTTGTCCTTTTCCAATGACCCACCTTTTTGTCCCCAGAGGGGTCTGGTTGCTGCTTACAGTGGTGACAGTGACAATGAAGAGGAGCTGGTGGAGAGACTTGAGAGTGAGGAAGAAAAACTGGCTGACTGGAAGAAAATGGCCTGCCTACTTTGCCGGCGCCAATTCCCAAACAGAGATGCCCTGGTCCGGCATCAGCAGCTGTCAGACCTACACAAGGTGGCCGTGTTTCTCTGAGTTGTGCTGTGGTGGGGAGGGCAGGCAGTAAAATAGTGCAGGTGCCCACATAGCAGCAAAGACTCAGTAAATACACGCATTGAATCATTGCCTTCTAAAAGGCTATCCTGTTGCTAGTCCCTCCAGATTCTGGAGAGGAAAGGAGCATGGCAGCTCCATATACATCCAACTCCCATTTTTATATTGAAGTGTATTGGACTTTAATTCTTTTTTTTTTTTTTAAGATTTATTTATGCATACAAGAACTGGGGTACAGGCCAGAGGTGGGGAGGGGTGTGGTGAGAGGATTCACCAGAGACAGAGTGGGGAACAGAACAGGCAGACTGACTGAAATATACTGCTGAGGGGAGCAGCGGGCGAGTCAAGAGAGGTCTGTGCCATGTGGTCACCTCCCTGGCCGGGGATCGAACCCATGCTGCAGTGCCGGCAGATAGCTTCATAGTACTGTGTCTTAACCTCTTGTGCCACCAGGGAGACCCTGGACTTTAATTCTTAGACTACGATAATATGACATTTGAAAGTAGGGTGGTCTAATTTCTTACTGTATCTGTAATATCTTTTATATAGCAAAACATGGACATCTACCGGCGATCCAGGCTGAGCGAGCAGGAGCTGGAAGCCTTGGAACTAAGGGAGAGAGAGGTAAATGAGGGTTCTGAACCACTAGGAGTATCTTGGGGGTATCTGCTTGAGCTTTTATTTGTAGTACTTAGTTTCAGGTCCCAGGGGCAGGATAGGATTTGTCACACACTTGTCTCCTGGCCATTGTGGTCTGGGTCATTGTATAACCCAGGCTATATGTCCTTGTGAGCCCTGTACTGTGCCTTTATGAGGGTGCACAGACCAAACCACACCCTTAATAGTGCTCACAAGTCCTGAATGCCAAACACTTGCTGGTGAAATATACTTGGTTTTAGTGAGGAGAAGAGTGATCTTGTTTGGCCTGGCCAGGAAAGTCATGGGCAACCTGGGAGACTTTAAATGAGGCTCAGGGGACAACAGGGTTTGGGGTGAAGGCAAAAAAAAAGGTTGTGAGTCCATTAATGGGCTGTCACTTTATACTTGATGAGGCTGGATGAGGGCCAGTGGGGCAGAGTTTCAAATACCAGTAGAGATCTATGGGGCTAGAATCCCCAGGCAAGTTACTTGAAATTTCCTACCCCAGGGTAATTTTGAGATAACTGTAGTTAGAGCTTTTGCTTTCCTGTTTTTTTCCCCACTGTTTGTGGTAATAACTACAGTGGGTCTCTGGATACCTCCTTGGTGCTGCCTGTCCCTGGAGGTGGGCCTGTCCAAAAGCTGAGGAGGGTATGGCTCCTCTTCCCTCCTCTTTCTGTGGGACCTCAGCAGGTTGTGCCCACAGCCCAGCAGCTGGTTGAAGAGCTTGGCAAGTGGTGGCTAATTAAGTAAAACAGATTGTGGAGACATAGTTCTGCCTCAGGTTCCATATATAATTCATCTTTACTAACCTGCCATCTTAGATATCATGCAGTGTGTGAGGGAAACAAGGGTGTTTGGTATTTCAGCCCACTCTGAAAAGCCAAACTCCAGATAAAGAAAGTACTTGAGGTGATAATCTCAAAGTATCAGTGCACTGCACAGTTACAGACAAAAGTCTCAATAGCTCTGCCGGTGTCTGTCCCCCCGCATAGATGAAGTACCGGGATCGAGCAGCAGAGCGGCGGGAGAAGTACGGCATTCCAGAACCTCCAGAACCCAAGCGCAAGAAGCAGTTTGACGCTGGCGCCGTGTACGTGTTGTGTGTGTCTTTCTGCTTGTTAGCTGGAGCGCTGGCTCTGGTCAGTTAACTGCGTGTTTGCCACCGGCAGGAACTATGAGCAGCCTACCAAAGATGGCATTGACCACAGTAACATCGGCAACAAGATGCTCCAGGCCATGGGTTGGCGGGAAGGCTCAGGTTTGGGAAGGAAGTGTCAAGGCATCACAGCCCCCATTGAGGTAAGCAGTGGCATTGGGCTCCAGCGGCTCGTAGTTCCAAAGACTGGATGCGCTCACAGCACCCAGAGAGCAGAGGCAGGGTCCTTCCAGGTCTCGTCACCACCAAGTGGGGTTCCCTGAGCCCTGCCTTACTTTTCCCCTCTTTTAAGGTGTCAATTGGGAGGAATGGGTGTGGCACCCACTGGGTTTTTCTGACCTTTTGGTGTCTGTGGGTAAAACCTGTTTCTCCTAAGGACTGAGAATGTCTGTCTCTTGTTATAAACAAATACTGAATACCAAGACTGTGAAGCTGAGATAGGATTTATTTATTTGTTTATTTTTAAGATTTATCAATTTATGCATGCAAGAGCTGGTCAGAGGCCAGAAGATTGGGGGGTGAGAATGTTCACCAGAGACAGTGGGGAACAGAACAGGCAGACTGAGTGAAACACACTGCTGAGGGGAGCAGTGGGCGAGACAGGAGAGGCCTGCTGCGCCATGTGGGTTTCTCCCTGGCCTGGGATCAAACTCATGCTGCAGAGGCTTCGGATTACTTCATAGTAAGGTGCTTAACTCCTTGCGCCACCAGGGAGGCCCGAGACAGGATTCTTTTTTAAGGTACTATGGTTTAGTTTCTTTCTAGATGACTTTTTGGTTGTATATAAAAGAAATTATAATATGGTAGGATTTTTGTTTGTGATAAGAAATCTCTTAGTCGATCAGAGCCCAGACTGAGAGATAATCCCAAGAGCACAGACCCCACCCACAGAACAAGGGCGTGACCAGTGATTGCCTTTATCTCCGTCTGGCAACAATGCTGGGGTCAGACTTACAGACTGTTTATCCTGTACAAGCGAGTTCTGCTGACACCAGCTATCCTGCTGTGATCCTTACCCACAATACAAGGCCTTCCCTGGGCTTCAGTGGAGTGCTTTGGGGCCCTTATTTTGTATAGGGGGTGGGGGTTACATCTGCCTGTCTTCCACAGCCCATTTTATTCCTTTAGTTTCAAGTCTCCTGTGTAGAAATCTTAGTAGAAAACTTCCTCCTGTCTTCTCTCTCCTGGTGGGTGGACCTGCTGGGAAGGGAGTGTGCTGGATGAAGGGTGTGGGAGTGTTCTGCACCCTACCTGCCAGGCGCTGACAGCAATTTTGTGTCCCCCCCGCCAGGCCCAAGTTCGCCTAAAAGGAGCTGGCCTAGGAGCCAAAGGCAGTGCATATGGATTGTCAGGTGCAGATTCCTACAAAGATGCTGTCCGGAAGGCCATGTTTGCCCGGTTCACTGAGATGGAGTGAGAAAGAGAGATGACAGGAGCGCCAAAGAGCACAAGGAATGGTCTGTCTCCTGAATTCACTCTACTGCCTGTCTCTTTAAGGGCATGCCTTGTGCTGTTAATAGTTTTTAAGGTGAACCACTTCATTCTGCAAGGTTCTCCCTCCCACTTAAAGGAGTTCCCCTTACATGGGTTGTCTGGTGAATGTTCTTCCTTCCTGCCAGAGGGCTTGTGAGTTGGTGAGGGGACAGTGGGCCTTTTATACTTCAGTGTACATAGTGTAATGTAGTGTGTTTTACATGTGTAGCCTATACTGTGGCCCATCAGCCCCTCGAGTTCTTCGGGGGTGTTGAGATGCCGTAGGTGGTATGTGATACCAAAGCCGCCTCTCATTTGTTGTCGTGCTGTCTTTTCTTGGCAAAAGCCTTGTGTATATTTGTATATTACACATTTGTACAGAATTTTGGAAGATTTTCAGTCTAGTTGCCAAATCTGGCTCCTTTACAAAAGAAATACCTTGAAAAATGAGTGTGTGTGTGTCTTTTTTCTTGAGTGACCCAGTGATTTGAGAGTTTAGCATGTTTTAAAACTCTCTATGGAAATTCAACCGTAACTGATTTAGCTTTTCCACTTTCTTCCAGTTTCTAAAGACTAAAGTGAACATAAACGCCCCACTCCGGTTTGCATGGGGCAGGGGTGTTACTGCTCTGCAGGGTAAATCCTCCCTGCAGAGGATTTGGCCATTGATAAAGGTGATAACCTGGTCCACCCTCTGCTGAGTTGGAGAAACTGAGGAAACCATCTCTCTCCCCCTGCAGCACTCCGTTTCTATCCTGTCACCTCAACTGCTGAGGGGTTACTCAGGGACGTTGCAGGGTGTCCGTTCTAAATGGTGTCATCCCATCCTTGTCACCATTTTGCCAGCAAGGTCATGCTTGACAAGCAGAGGAAGTGTATTTGGATCTGAGGCTAATCCCCAGGCCAGATGAGGTAGAGATGGCTCCCCCTGTCATCATCCTGGCTAAACTGAGTGTTCAGGCTCCACATCTGATATATAGTTAGGGAGGGGCAACTTGTCATTAAAACTAGAACTCCATAAACAATAAATTTAAAGAAACAAACCACTGCAACTCCATAGCTTCTGTGGATGGTCACATGTTCCTGTTTTCCTGTTTTCAGGTAAGCCTGGCCCTTACAAAATTGACATGAAAAGTGTTCAGGAGGAGCTTTCAAGCCCTCACCACAGCCGCCCAAGGGGACACTTGGGAGAGCTTGAGTCTAATCCTCTCTCTGCTAGGGAGAGGTAGAGACAAATGCAAAAACCCCAAGCCTGGGCTTGTGTGGGTTAAGACTTGGGAAGCTCACAAGTAAGACCCATATTCCAGGCATGACCCTAGAGAGACCATTGCATCTCCAGAGCCCTCATGGAGGTGTGCTCTGCTGCTTGGAGCGAGAGTCACAAGTAGCCTCATGAGACACATCTGCCCACTAGCCTGCAGGCTCTTCCAAAGGAGCGCATAACTAATATCTGGGAATCTCAATCACATGTGCCCAGCGGTCAAGGGCTGGTTGGAAGCCCATTCCCTGTGGGGTAGGGGGAGGCCCCCTGAGCACTGGCAAGGGAATCAGCTCTCCATCAGCCTTCTTGAGCCTAGAATTGACTTCCCCACACAGGAAGGACATTTGAATTTGTCCTGCACTGCTTGGTGCTGACAGTTGCCTTTAGCAGCTGCTCAAAGCTCCTGTCAGACCGCTCTGTGCCACCGCATCCACTGCCCACGCTGGCATGGGCTTTCCTATGAACTTGAAGTTAGTGCCTGTCCTCAGAGAAACTGGCAACCCCCTCTCACTTCCAGTCTGCTCCAGTCACCTCACCAGCATACTGAGCCAGGTGAATGCTGCCCTCACCTTGAATCAATTTCTAGGTTCAATAGGCTGTAATTCTGGCTTATGTAAGATTGGTGTTTAATGGCTCTCCAGACCTGGAACTGAATCCCCAAGAGCCCAGATATCCCCCCACCCACGCCACCCATCAAGTTTTCCAATCCCAAGCCCGCAGGGAAAGTGCTGTGTCCTGCCATGTTCCAACTCCACTCAGAGCTGCTGTCCCTCATCACGCTTGAGTGTGGGCGCTCTACAAAAACTGCTCAAACTTCCCAAACAGGGAAATTCAAATTCTGAATTTGGAAGTCTTTTGATAAGAGGGAGCCTCTAGGGATCCCAGGTCCAGCCTGTCCTTGGCTGGGACAGCTGCTGCAATATGCAGGGCTTTGAGGGCCATCCAGGAGCAGCTGTCATGGCCATGCATCAAACGAGTCTCAAAGCCCAGATGAGCAGCCAGGCCTGAGCTAAGCTCCCCAAGCATGCACATTCTGGCTGGGGGTCTCAAGGACGCCCAGAGCACAGCCACCAGTCACCCTGTTTTTTGAAGGACAAGTGTCCTCATGGACAGATCAGGGCTGGGGGTAGAATGACCCAGAGACAAGCTGGGAGGAGGGCACTGTGTAGAGCACTATGTAGCTGATGACCGCTAGGTGGCAGCACTCCATCATCTATATGGCCAGGCTGGTTAGGTGGCATGAGGATGTCTCACCAAGTCCCTTGGCTCTGGAGAGTCCCAGGGCCTCTTCCAGGTCTCTGAGATTTAAGTAGACCTGGCTAAAGTTTGGACCTCAAAGTTCTGGAGCTGGGCAGGCATCAAGTTTTGCAGACCCTGCGGGTGCTTGACAGTCCCTTACCCCCAGAGATCCCTGCTGACTAGAAGGGTAAGTTGTTGCCCAGCCATGGGGCAAGGCCTAGACTGACCCTGTGCACAGTAAGTGCTTCCATCTCAGCAGTCCTTTCCAACCCAGGTGAATAATTTCTGTGGTCGATAAAATGCATTTCTGCCTCTCACACTCCCTTCACTCATCTGATTATTGACTCTTGAAATACTCTCTTGGCAGAGTCCACATCAGATCCACAGCCTCTGTCTCTACTACAGTCAGGAGAAATAAGGGCTAAGCATGTCCAGGGCTCCCAGATGAAGGCAGGGATGTCCATGTGTCCTCAGCCAGCCTCAGGAAAGGTGGGAAGGGCGCAGCTTTGCAGCAGAGGCAGGAGCCAGGGGCAGGGCCCTCCTGTCACTTAATCCCTGCACTGGTTTCATCTGGTTTAAAGGGGAAACGAACTCAAAGCAGAGCAGTTGCTGGAGGTTTATCAGCCAGGCGAATACTGAGCCTGGGTTTCCTGTGCTACACAACTAACTAGGCCCTGGGCATGGAGATGGGTCCTGAGCTGCAAACACAGGGTTAGGCTCCAGCTAAAGTGCTGAGTGTAGTGAACACCCTCCACACCATCCTGGGGAGAGAGAGAAGACAGGCAGGAAAAAAGACAACTGCAGACAAAGCAAGGCCTAGAGGATGCTGGGAAGTGGAGCGGGAGAGGTCCACGGCTGCTGCAAGTGGTGGGAGGAGGCGGCGGGGGCAAGATAACGCTGGGCTGGGCGGGGGGCTCAGGGTCTGGAGGAGTGGGTTCCTCTCCACCCCTGGCCTCTGCTGAGATAAGACAGCCCGAGCAGAAGCAGCCGCGGGTGAATTCTGCACATTAATGGGGGAAGCTAGGCAGCAGTAAGCAGGAGAGAGGAGGGGCCAAGGGACCCCCGCCTGCTCTCCTGCCAGACTAAGTAAGACCCAGAGAGACTGGCACACCCAGGACAGGCTCCCAGCTCCAGGCAGGCAAGGCACCACTATCCTGAGTCTGACTGGACAGAAGCTATTTGAGAGTGATTCATGGGTGCAATTAAGTGTGCCCCCATTATCCCCCTATTAAGGCCTTGGGGCAGAGTAGGGGTGTGTGTGCAGATGTTGGAAAGACTGCTGTGCAAGGGTTGGGTTCAGTGTAGCCAAGCGCCCCAGAACACCCAGTTCAGATCTGTGGACCTGGAGCAAAGCAGGCTGGGCCGAAAACCTGAGGGTGCCGGGGTGAATGTTTCCTCCCCTTTCTCCCCAACTCCTTGTCTGGGTTGAGAGGCAGCCCTCTGCACTCACAAGTGTGCAGCCAGTACGCATGCACATGCACGCACAGGCCCGGAGTCATCCAGGACAGCAGGCATGCTTCCCCAGCACCCTCAACATGTACGGGGGGCAGCGGGGCAGGGGTGGGGGGTGCAGTAGGCTACACAGATGCCTGTAGACCCCAGCCCCTCCCACCCCACTGTGTGGAAGCATAGAAGCTCAGGCATACCTCTCTCAGGACCACCCGCAGAGGCAGGCCAGTCCAATCACGAAAGCGCACCCCTGAGCACACTTGCAGCAGCTCATGCTAGCCCTCAAGGAAGAAGCCCATCTGGCAGCTGGCTGGGAAGGGAAGGGAACCCCCAGGGCCATGGTGTAGCAGGGCTCCCGCACCCCTTGTGCACACACGTAGTCACTCTGTGGCTCCTCCCTTCCCAGATAGGTGGATCTGGGAGGTGGCAGGGTTTCCCCTGAACACAGCCCACGCTCAGCTCTAGGTGAAAGCTCTGCTGAAAGACAGAGCTAGAGGAAGGAGAGTCAGGAAAGGGGCCCAGTGCTCCTAAATAGATAGGCTGAAGGTTCAGAACCTGCCCTGCTAATACCTGCAGCCTTACCTCGTGGGGAAGAAAAGGAGCAGCCTTCTCAGACAGATGGTAAACTGAGGCTCGCAGAGGCACAGGAGCAAACCCTGGCTTGTAGAGCTTATCAAGAGCTCATGGAAATAGGGCTCCCACCCCCACCTCTAGCTATTTCCATCGGTTGGTATCCCAACTAAGACTGGGTTCCTCGGTCTGTTCCCTCAGACTGGGAGACCCCAGGACCTGTTAACTGTGCCACTTCCTTCAGGCTAGGAATCCCCAAGAACCAGCTGGGCTCTGTCTCCTCCCTCAGTCAGGATCTCCTGGGCCTAATGGACTCTGCCTTCTCCCCCTCAAACTAGGCACCCCAGCCCGGGCCTGCCTGGGCCTCTCCTCTAGGACTAGGAGCCCCAGCCTGAGCCCCTCAGGCTCCACCAGACTCAAATGTAAAACGTGAGCAGCAACACACGCCACTGTCGTGCCCCCCCCCCAGACAGATTTTTCTGGTTCTTATTAATGTAAATGAAATCTGCTCCAAGCGTCCTTAATGGAAAGCGTTCCTGGAATTTGTGCACACGTGGTGGTGGAGGGACACCCTGAGATTAACTCTTGTGCAGCCTGACTGAGACGCCTCACTCGGGCTGCAGGGATCTGGCTGAGGCAGGGCTTGGAAGAAGCAGTCGCTCAGCCCCCCCTAGAACTGGGTCCTGACAGCAGCAAAGGTGGCAGGGCCGTGTGCAGATTCCACCCTCCACCCTGGGACCAGTTGAGTGAAAGAGATTTCTCAGAGCTTGAAGAAGGCGACCTTGACAGGGGTGGAGAGCCCTGGAAGGTCCTTGGTCAGGCAGGGGGCACAAGGAGTGGGACAGTCAGGTTGTCCATCCTCATCCTGCTCTTCACTGTCTCCATCCTGAATCTGGAGAGAAGACCAGGCAGCAGACCCTGTCAAACCTGACCCTGAGGAAGCAGACCCCTGCCACTGCCCTCCACCCACCTCACCCCTAACACAGATCCGCCGGGACCATCGTCTTTGTAACTGCGGGGGCAAAGAGAGGGAGCTGGAGGCCCCAGAGTGGACGCCCAGCCCAGAATGGTTGGCTGTGGGGGCGGGGGGAGAGGGAAGGGGGCAGAGAAGCCCTGGCCTGGAGCCCACAAGCGCCCTGCCTGGCTCCCTCCCCCAAATCTGGATGCTTGTTCTGGCACAGCCCTCCGCAGGCCCCAGTGGAGCTGTGTTTTACTGCCTTTCGTGGCCAGGACAGGGATGTCTGCCTCACTGGCGGGGGTAGGGGAAGAGTCTAAGATTTCAATTTCTCCCAGGTGTGGCTCAGTCTGGAGGATGCCTTGGGGAGACTGGCTGAGGGGCCAGCACCTGGGAGGGGGGGTGATTCAGAGAGAGGAGGGGCTCAGGAGAGGGGCCTCAAGAAGGGGAGGAGGCCACAGAGGGGGTCTTGTAGACCGAAGAGGGGCTCTGAGAAGGAGGGCCCGAGGGAGTAGGAGGAGCTCTGCGAGGGCTGGGGGGCTGGGGAGGGGATTAGGGGAGAGATGACACA